CCTCCCCCCACTGCATTCCCCACATATACACTTCTTTCTGCCTCCCCCCTCCTCCAAGTCATATTGCAGGTTAGATACACTCCATGTGTCTGCTCCAGCCACATACCCCCCTTGTTCCTGATGTTCTTTGCAGCTAAGGGATCCTGAGCGTCTCAGACAGCCGACATGAACGCCTTTCACTCAGTCAGACTTTGATCTATCCTACAATCTGCAAAATAAAAAGAAAAAAGAAAGAAAAGCAGATAGAAAACAAAAAAAGATCAGAAATCCTCCACTTTTCCGGCAGCCACTCTCGTCCATTTCTCCCTGTCACTGCATGGCCAATGTGCAGCCAATCCGAGCCCAGCACCTCCTCGCCCCCTCTAAATACCTCCCCGCCATTCAGATTTAAATGCAAGGATGAGCATTGTTCTTGCAGCCTCCGTCTTCAGACATGAAACAATCCGGGGAGCCTCAGAAACAATTTTCACCCATTCGCTTCTCCTAGTCCCATCTCTTTCCACGGTTTAAGGTGGCGCAGCGGCTGGGCTGGCTGTCACCGGCAACAGCGTCAGCCGTTTTGGAAGGACTCCTTAAGAAGTGTCACCGTGCACAGGTCCGGCACATCCGCAGCGCAATAGGGGCACGGAGCGCTCCGGCCAGTGACTTAGGGGGGGGGCGGGACACACACACGCTGCTATGCGCTCGCCGCTTTCGGGCTGGCTGTGGCTTTGCGTGAAGGGCTAACGAGAACCGGTCGGCGCTGACTCGCCATCTCCGCACAAGCTGTCAGGCAGCAGAAGAAACCTTACCGCTATATCCGTCCTGTGTCTCCGAACGCTGGGGAGAAGATGAACCTGCCTCCGTCAGCTAGGTAGGATGGCATGCTTCACCCTATCCCTACATCTGCTTCAACCTTGGAAGGGGATGATTAAGGGATAGATTGCAAGCTCTGCTGGCCAGGCGATTGCAATGCAATAGGATGCTGCTGTTTTGTATTCCCCTATTCCCTTCCTGTGTTGCATGCTGTATACTCTTCAGCTAGGTAGCATCCTTCCTGCTAGGATCTGAGAGAGCTGAGATCTGGATTGCAAGCTGGCAAGCCAGATCTTTTTTTTTGTATGAAGGAATGCTGCCTGCTGTTATACATGTTATACATATGTACAGTGTATGTACTCATTATAAATAGCACCATCGGGAAGGGGAACACCAAGGCATCTCAGTCCCTGCACCAGCGGAGCTTACATTCTAATGCCCCAACGCACGGTCACATTCATGTATATGTCTATATCTATTGATAAGGATCTGACATAGTCTGCATCATTTCATAGAGTACATGGAACCATTATATGTGCCCTGTGTCAGCAGAGCTTACAATCTAATGCCCCAATGCACGGTCACATTTATTTCTATAACCATTATATGTGCCTTGTGTCAGCAGAGCTTACAATCTAATGCCCCAAATGCACGGTCACATTTATTTCTATAACCATTATATGTGCCCTTGTGTCAGCAGAGCTTACAATCTAATGCCCCAATGCACGGTCACATTCATGTATATGTCTATAGCTATTGATAAGGATTTGACATAAGGATCTGTCTTGTGTCCGCAGAGCTTACAATCTAATGCCCCAACACAGACATATTCATATCCATTTCTATGTCTTTATAAGGATCTGCTGTAGTCAGCATCATTTCTTAGAGCACACAGAACCATTGGATGTGCCTTGTGTCAGCAGAGCTTACTATCTAATACCCCAAACACATTTACATCTATATCTATTGAAAAGGATCTGACATCTGCATCCCTTCATAAAGTACATGGAACCATTATATGTGCCCTTGTGTCAGCAGAGCTTACAATCTAATACCCCGATCACAGTCACATTTATGTATATATCTATTGATAAGGATCTGACATCTGTATCATTTCATAGAGTACATGGAACCATTATATGTGCCCTTGTGTCAGCAGAGCTTACAATCTAATGCCCAATCACAGTCACATGTATCTCTATGTCTATATCTATTGATAAGGATCTGACATCTGTATCATTTCATAGAGTACATGGAACCATTATATGTGCCCTTGTGTCAGCAGAGCTTACAATCTAATGCCCCAGTCACAGTCACATTTATTTCAATAACCATTACATGCGCCCTTGTGTCAGCAGAACTTACAATCTAATTCCCAATCACAGTCACATTGATGTATATGTCTATATCTATTGATAAGGATCTGACATCTGCATCATTTCATAGAGTACATGGAACCATTATATGTGCCCTGTGTCAGCAGAGCTTACAATCTAATGCCCCAATGCACGGTCACATTCATGTATATGTCTGTATAGATTGATATGGATCCGACATAATCTGAATCATTTCATAGAGTACATACAGTATAATCATCATTATATGCACCCTTCTGTCAACAGAGCTTACAATCTAATGCCCCAACACACAGTCATATTTATGTATATGTATTGACTGATAAGGATCTGACATAATCTGCATCATTTTCTAAACTACATATAACCATTTATGTGTGCCCTTGTTGTCTGCAGAGCTTACAATCTAATGCCTCAACCACAGTAAATGAATGTATATGTCTATATTGATTGATAAGGATCTGACATAATCCGCATCATTTTATAAAGTACAAACAGATTAATCATTATATGTGATCCTCGTGTCAGCAGAGCTTACAATCTAATTCCCCAATCACAGTATATTCATGTCTGTATCTATTGATAAGGATTTGACATCTGCATAATTTTATAAAGTACATGGAACCATTACATGTGCCTTGTGTCAGCAGAGCTTACAATCTAATGCCCCAACACACAGTATATTTATGTATATGTATTGACTGATAAGGGTCTGATATAATCTGCATCATTTTATAACGTACATATAACAGTTTCCATGTTCCTTTGCATCAGCGGAGCTTACAATCGAATGCCCCAATCACAGTCATATTTGTATTTATTTCTATGAGTGTTGATAAGGATCGGAGTCTGCAAACATTTTATAAAGCACCTATAAGCATTATATGTGCTTTGTGTTAGCAGAGCTTACAATCTAATGCCCCAGACACAGTCTTATTTGTATTTATTTCTATATCTGTATCTATTGATCAGGATCTGGCGTAGTCCGCATCACTTCACAAAGTACATATGACCATTATACCTATGTGTCTTGTGTCCACGGAGCTTACAATTTAATGCCCCAACACAGACATATTTGTATCCATTTCTATGTCTTTATAAGGATCTGATGTAGTCTGCATCATTTCTTAGAGTTTCGCGGAACCATTATATGTGCCCTGTGTCAGCGGAGCTTACAATCTATAACCCAACACACAGTCACATTTATTTTAGGTCTGTATTTTCTAATATCGTCTGCGTCATTATATGAAGCGCGTAGAACCATCTCCATGTCCCTTTGCGTCAGCCAAGCTTACAATCGAATGCCTCGACCACGGCTACATTTATTGATTACTATTTACTTTATAAGCTTGTGTCTGTTGATGAGGATCGGACATCGTCTGCGTCATTTTATAAAGCACATGGAGCCATCGCCATATGATTTTGTGCCGGAGGAGCTTATAATCTAATGCCCCAAATCTAATGCCCCAACTGCCCCAAATTCATTATTGTGTTTAATTATTGATAAGGATCCAATATAGTCTGCATCATATTATAAAGTACATATAACAATGTACATGTGACAGCAGAGCTTACAGTCTAATGTTCTGGCATCAGACAGACAGGCACACAGGCCAATAGTAGCGTTACTAGATAGATAGATAGATAGATAGATAGATAGATAGATAGATAGATAGATAAAGAGAGGGGGGAGAGAGAGAGCGGTGATAGATAGATGGATAGAGAAAGAAAGGAAGACAGAAGTGATAGATAGATGGATAGATAAAGAAAGGAAGAGAGAGGTGATAGATTGATAATAAAAAAAAAGGGAGAGAGAGAGAGAGAGGTGATAGAGATAGATAGATAAAGAAAGGGAGAGAGAGAGAGAGGCGATAGATAGATAGATAGATAGATAGAGAAAGGGAGAGAGAGGTGATAGATAGATAGATAGATAGATAGATAGATAGATAGATAGATAGAGAAAGGGAGATAGAGAGGTGATAGATAGAGAAAGAAAGGAAGAGAGAGGTGATAGATAGATAGATAGATAGATAGATAGATAGATAGATAGATAGATAAATAGATAGATAGATAAAGAAAGATAGATAGATAGATAGATAGATAGATAGATAGATAGAGAAAGGGAGAGAGAGGTGATAGATAGATGATAGATAGAAGGACATTCATGGAGCTGGCATAGTCTGCAGCTCGTTGCCAGTGGGGCTTGCAGTCTAGGGGTCTTCGGACACACTACTACAACTATTATCCATCTTCATAGCACTTTATAGAGAAGACAGACACCTCTACCGAAGTTCTTGTGCCACGGGAGCTGACACTCTAAAGATCTTCTACACACTACTTATTCTTGGCACTGCCGTTATGAATAATTTATATGGCACAGAGTCACAGACATATACTGTAGCCCTTCACAGAGAACATACGGTCATTTATATCTGCCTTGTTGTAGCAGAGCTTACAATCTAATGTCGCCCTCACAGTAACAAACATACCCAATAACATTAGTAACAATAATAATGATCAATATGTATGATTAATATTGTTACGTGTGATTATTTTATGAATGGTATAGAACTCTGGTATATTCTGCATAGTATGTATATTGTGAATAGTACCCCCCCCCCC